GGGGGGGGGGGTTCCTGGAAGACTCAGAAAAATAAGGTTTATTTGCATTTTGATCAGCATTTGGGAATGTTTTGAAATCAAGAGGGGGGTGCTGCGCTGCAAAAAGATTAAGAACCCCTGCTAGTAATCTTCGATATCATTTGCTGTAAGACCAAAGTATTTTTTTTTTATTGCAGGTTTTCGTCTTTTTTATTGCAGGTTTTCTTAACCAAGGATTGGGGGGGGGGGGATCCAGATAAGAGGTTTATTTGCATTTCTATTATAATTCTTTTTCACGATTAGGGGTGGGGGCAGGGGCGTCATTTCAGGTATCTTCAGGGGGAGGGGGCAAAACCAAAACCTGGTCGGCTTGCTCAGTTGCTTATTACTGGAGGCGCCCCAGTACATATCAATTTAAATAAAACCTACCCAAATGGCTTCCTTCGGTGCGGGTGAAGGCAATTTTTTTTTAATCGAGAGAGGTGCGATGCTGCAGTTATAGATTACGAGCATTTCCTTTGTAATTTTATAACATACATTTCAAAAATTATTCTAAGAAGGGATCCTTCCACTATCATCCAACTGTGTCCTTAGACTTGGAAAAAACAAAAGGTAACCAAATACTGTAGGCCAACTAGTCGCTACTAGAAACATTCGCTGCTAGAAACATTCGCTGCTAGAAACATTCGTGTGGTTTCAATTTCAAACTGTTAGAATAGGTCATTCAAACTTAAATTTTAAAACGGTGCAATCTTTCCCCCCCCCATTATTTTATATTTTTCAGTATCACGATTCAATCATACATTGAAAGTAGGCTTATCATAATTTTAAGGGTCGAAACCGGATCCGATAGGTCACCTATAAATTGGGACCAGTGGCATACCTTAGAGCAGAGTTTCACAAGCTTCCGATACTGTGTACCCTGTCTATAATTTTAATAACAATGAGTACACCTCGTTAAAAAATAGTTATTGCTCGTGTTGACTATTATAACTCTCTTCTGTCAGGCTCTCTCGTCTTGACTATTGTAACTCTCTTCTGTTAGGCTCTCTCGTCTTGACTATTGTAACTGTCTTCTGTCATGTTCACAAAACGTTTCGTAGAAAAACTGCAGAAAGTTCAAAACTAAACTGCTATGTTAGTTCTAAAGGCAAAGAAACGTGATCACGTCACACCAATACTTCCCTCAATTCATTGGCTCCCTATACAGGCACGCGTTGATTACAAGCTGTCTGTTCTGTGTCACAATTTTTTTCTCTGGTTCCAGCCCTCTCTTACTGAAATTCTTACTGTCTATTAATCACTTCGAAAGCTTCGCTCAGAGGCGTAGCGGGGGGGGGGGGGGGGGGGGGGGGGGGGGTGGGGGGGGAAAGATTCCCCGGGCGCAAGCTAGTTAAGGGCGCCAAAATGTGCTTTTATATTATATTATTGGTAAAAATAATGGGTTTGAGAGTTGAAAAAAAAGAAAAGGGGGCGCTTTAAAATGGATCTTGTCCCCGCGCGCCAAACACCCTCGCTACGCCTCTGGCTTCGCTCACCCACAGACACGCGTATTCTTTCTGTTCCCAGAACACGTACTAAAACAAAATGTGGTGAAGAACATTTCTCTTTCTGTTCCCCAAAACAATGGAATTCTCTCCTATTACACATCTCCAATACACCGACCATCTCGGCCTTCGAAACTGCACTCAAGACCCACCTCTTCAAACTGTTCTATACCGACTCATTCTCATCCCCCTCTGACTGATCACAACGCCCGATTCTGCTGAGTGCTGCCCATGGTTAGACAGGGGTAGATAGTAATTGGGTCGGTGAGGTCAAGCTTTTCACCAATTGTTGTTTTTAAATGTATCCGTCTCTGTAATTGTTAATTTTTATGTGAAGCGCAGCGAGCCCTAGGCTGGGGTACTGCGCTGTATACACCTAATAATAATAATATTAATAATAATAATAATAATAATAATAATAATAATAATAATAATAGACTTTAATTTGTTAAAAAATTTAAAAATATTATTTTTTTTTTTACTTTGCAGTGCGTACCCCCGCCAAAATCTTCTCGTAACCCCCGGGGTACACGTACCACACTTTAGGAAACACTGCTTTGGAGGGAGGAAGAGGGTGACCGCCAGGGGTGGCCCTTTAGTTAATGTTAACTACCATCAATTTTGGGGGGGGGGGGAATTGATGTGATTTCAGAGGGTTATATTGTATGTGGTCGTCCCCGGGCTGCATTTCGTCAAAGGTAACGGCAGTGTGTAACACCCGAGGCTGAAAAGTAGTGCAGCTATGTTTTTGGGGCCGTGCATTACTTACGTCCACAATTTTTAAGAAATTTTTGACTCCTCCCCTCCCCCTGTCAACAACTGTGAAACTTTCAGTGAGTGCCCCCCCCCCCCC